GGAAAAAAAAATGCTTCCCAAGATATATATATAAATATAACTCATGAATATTCGGTTTTAAATGTTCTTTGGACTTACTTTCATCGGAATTTATACTTTAGGATTTGATTATTAATAGAACTCAGGAAACAAATATGTTGGCCAAAATTCATGGATCCCACTTTTAACTATAAGCAAATGAGATTATAGCAAAACAATTTTTATTTTTATTTTAAAAAAAAAAGGTTAAATAAATTTAGAAAAGGAAGATCATTGTATCCGGTTGTCAATGTATTGCACATAGGTGGAAACTCACTAAGATTTTTTTTATTTTTTTTTTGTTCAAACTTCTTTAACACAAATATTTCTAGTTCTTCTTACTTTAATTCATTCATATGAAGTAGATTTATTAAATTTTTACTTAGCTCAAAACCAACTGTGGAATAGGAAGAATATTTATAAGATTTAAGCTCAAAATATATGTGAAGAAATATCTATCAAATTTTCCTTCACCAGATCATAATAAGTTCTGCTAGAATTGAAATAAGGAAAAATTGGATTCCTGTGCATGCATGACACTTGAATTCCACACAAAACAACCAGACTAATTCTAAAGCACTAAGCTAGCTTTACTCTTTTTACTTAATTAAAATGAACTATATATCTAATTACTTTAGTAATAATCCAAAATTGATTTTCATATTTATGTTAAAGAAATAGATAATGAGACTAGTTATTGAAGAGTTTTGTTGAAACCCAGAAAAAATTCATGCTAGATAATATTGCTCAAGGCAATGAAATGTTTTGCTTGTTCTTTCCCAGAATTTCTAACATAATTATCTGCGTTTCTCATGAAAAATTGCAGAAATTCATGCCCTTTCTTAATGATCCTATTTCGAGATCCGATAAATGTATTCTCATCTTTTTTAAGCACTAATGAATCAATGGAAAAGTTACTGATCTTTTACTTGATTACAAGAAAAGAAAAAGCTTCTTTTCTTTTGCTCGTATTTCCAGCAAACTATAAACCGATTATTTACGCAGTAACTTCAGATTCTTATGGAACCATCACTTTCTCTATAACAAATGGAAAGGAGTAAACAGGATAACCATCACTCCAACCCTAAAAAAATGATATTCACAGTTATAAAGCATTTCTCAAAAAAGGAAAAGACCTTGTTTTTGCTAGAATATTGCAAAAGCTTAAGCTATAATGGTACAGAAAGAGAAGATTTCTACCTATAAATACACATCGTACCAACCAACCACGATGTTATATTAAAATATCAGTAATGGAAGCCCTTATAATTAGTTCTGCTGTTTCTGTCATATGTTTCTTAAACCAATTCATTTCTTGGAGAATGTTGTTAACTAACAATATGTATACTTATAGATCATAAACAATTTCTGATAGCAAATTCAATGTAACATTAAAAAAATGATGGAATGCGAGGCGTACCTCTGATTCGTTTTCCAGCTTAAGCTTCTTAACCAGATATCTTTTGACCAATCGAATTGTCATCCTTCCGTCTCTAAAAAATGTCAAAGATTTTTAGACCTAGGGATGAAAAAGGAGAACAAAAGACATGAAAATAAAAGGATATGGAGAAAATAAGTTACTTGATTCTCAAGTAGCTCTTGGATATCTGAGGCAAATATGGTTCTTTTGCTCTGAAATGCAAAATAAAAGGTCCATTAAATATGACGATGTCGTAAGAAAACAAAGCTTCAAGGTAGGGACACAAAAACACAGAAAGGAAAATAGTGCTGCTGCAAAGTAAATACTGATGATAATTTGATTTCCCGGCCTAGTTTATGTACTTACTGATTTTGTGATGCTTGTAGTATAAACCATATNAAAGTAAATACTGATGATAATTTGATTTCCCGGCCTAGTTTATGTACTTACTGATTTTGTGATGCTTGTAGTATAAACCATATACCGGAATGTGGTCTCCGAGGTGGCTGAACCACTCTGAAATCTGGATTCGGCCCGGGGATATCTACTCCGGGATAGACTTGAAATGGCCGGGGAAAATAAGAACCCGGTGCCATTAAAGAAGTTGAAGGAGATGTTATGTTAATAGGGATCGGCCTATGTCCCCAGTTAATCTCTTGATGATAAGGGAAAGTTGAACTATTTCCCGGGTGTTGCAAGAAAAGTAAGGTTCCATGATCAGTGGATGTTGAGAAATTCGTTACAGGCCGAGGACTTGCAAATTCTGATACATTAAGCATAGGAGCTGCTAATGGCCTAATTTGTGAAGTACTACCACTACTACTTGGAAGAAGCTCGAGCTCGACCGGACGATGGCCATCTAATCGAGAGCTTTGATCTGCCTGATCTTTCTTGTTTTCACGGCCTGTGTAACCACCAATACTCAATTGAAGCCACCCTTCATCTTTCTCTTGTTGAACATCTTTTGAACTCGATCCTGTTTCGTTAATACTCCCAGTTCTCGATTGGTCTTCTGCCATTACTGGACCAACTAATCGATCAGATCCTAAACAAGCTTCAGTACAAGAATCATAACCTTGTACTTGACTACTCATAACACCAAAACCCTCCGAAAAGCCACCACAAAACAAGTGTTTGTAGGTATTTTCCGCAGAAAACATGGTCATGTCGAAAACCACAAAAACCCAAACCGCCAGTTCCACTGAGATTTAAACCTTTTGAGCTGATCTTGGATCTCAAGGAAAGCCATGAATTTGAAGTTCTTGAAATTTCAACTCTTCAGAGAGATCTATTGAGGCCATGAACATGTTTGAGATTCAATTAGGACATAGATTCCCATTGGACATGTATAGAGAGAGGAGAACGAAACTTGAAAATCTCACTTCGTAATTAATTCTCTTGGTTTGGCAGTTTTTGAGGCGATGGAATAGCTGCAGGGGGGTAGATAGATGATGGTGCGTGAGTTATATAGAAATCAATTTATTTTTTAATTCCGAAGGTCCCAGTAATATGTCTTTTTCTCTTTCATCTTGACTTTATTAATAAGATAGAGTACAAGTTCTAGTTTTGTATTAATGAAGGTTTTTCCAGCTAACAACTTTTGGACATTCTTTCAAGAAACTAAATTACAATACAAGTTACACTCTTTTTCTGATTTCTCAAAAAGGTCCTTTTTAGCTTTCTATTAGCGCATTATACACTATGGGATTGGGGTATTTCCTTTCTTCGTTTTACATATTTAGGTTTTTGTATTCTGCTGAAAGACATTTGAAACTAAAATACGTCAGATTCAGACATGATTGCTCTTCAAAGGAAAAAATGAATTAGATTTGCAATTTACAGAATTATTTTTGTATATATTATTGATCCAAGAAATCGAGAAAGAACAAGGATCAGATCGACATCAACTTCGTCAAAACAACAAAGAACTATGAATAACCACACAATAAATGTCCGAAAACAAATAAAATAAAACAAAACACAATAAAATTCAGCTTAAGTCGATGCTCCTCCTATCCCACATTGTCCCAAGTCAATCAGTTGGACTGTACATCTTTGACATAGCAATTTTATCCCGTCGGTCCGAAAATTTTTATTATCTTTTCGGCCATGCCACTCTCCCATGATAGAAGCGATTTGCTCTCTAATAGACAACATATCATCCTTCGACTAGTCAACTCTATGATGCATTACCAAGTGGTCAACATTGAATCATTCTTATCATCTCCTTCATGTTAACTCCGACTTATCCAATCATACTATTTGTTCAATAACCTTTGGAACCAAGTGTATATATGAGCATATATATGTTTCTCAATGGAGGTAAATTCGTCGATAAGACTGCAATAAATACACTATCAAACTCCTATGAATCATGCTTGATTTATAGAAGAAGTTTTCACAGAATGCTGCCAGAATACACACATAGGGGGGTGGGTAGGGTATTTTTTGGCAATTTTTTTTCATGGTAGGCCCCACATCATGAAACTATTCTGACAACATTCTGTAAGAAGTTATTATGTATATGTGGATTTATCCAACTTCCATAGCAACTAGTCTACTTTTCTTGATAGTTTGTTTCCTCTAACATCCCTCTCTTCACAATTTATTTTACTTTCAAAGTTCCAAACTCTTTTCAATTCAAGCACTTACAAATTGAAAAACTAGGTTTGGATTAGGAATAGTAAGACACATTTCATTGCTTTCTCATATCAAATGCTTTGACCCACAAATATATTTGTAAATAAATTTCCCGTATTTGTTAGCATCTTCCTATGAATACTTTCTCAATCATCATATTTGAGAATTTAAATATATAACCAATACATATATAAAAACCAACAATTTTGGATACCATAAATAACCCAATCAAGACCACACGACAAAGTAAGTACGAAAAGAGATAGATACAGCCCAAATTAATGAATGCCATGGTGTAACTGGGCATAAATAATGGCAAAAATACCTTTGTCTATGGCTACATGGCACTACAGAATGTAATTAATTATTTTTTATTAAAAAAAATAGAACTGTTGATAATTAAATAAATAAAAGGACATTGGCATGCATGATTGTGTTTCCCAAATCCAAGAAACGGAAGAGCTGAATAAGACGTGGTCTTGTAAAACATTCGATTGAACAGAACAGAAGAGAAGAGGCATGTGCCCCCCACCCTCCCTGCACTACTCTGTCAACTGTCAAATATTCCCACATATTCTAAATTGGGTTCAACACTAATAATATTCTTTACAAGAATGAATTTTTTAGTTAATTTTGTTAAGAAATGGACATAAACTTAAGAGAAATGATATTCTATCTCGGGAGCTGGGGACACAGACCATGTCTTTGCTGCCTCTCCTCCTGAAAAGCTGATCATTGCACTTTTTCCAGCTACCCGTTCACCATGCTTTCTCTCTCTCTCCCTCTCCCTCTCCCTCTCCCTCTCCCCCCCTCCCTCTCTCTTCTTGTGTGTGTGTGTGAAAGAGAGTGCAACTAGGTACTTTACTAATCAACAAAGTTTGGGACTTTTTTAATAAGATAGAGTACAAGTTAACCGACCAAAAATGATGCTTGTACAGATAAATTACACAGAAAGTTTTACAGTTGCGGATATGGAAGCACCTGATTGACTATTTTAACTTTATTTTTTTTGTCCAAAATCCAATGAAATATTGTCACGTTGTATTCTGTAAACCAATCTATGCAATTTATCTGCATATACATCATTATTCTTAACTAGTTGACTTAGTCAATAAATTGGATAAAGTTTCTTAAGTATCAGAACTCGAAGAATTTTCACTTAGATAACCACTTTTCTTGTTAGTTTATGGTGACTCATCGAATAACCTTACTCTTGGTGTGACCTTAATGCACTACTACTTTCTATTCAGATCAATCACTTGAGGCATCAAATTGAATATGTACGTTACAATATCGTCCACTAATAAAAGGGATGTGATCTAGAAACCTCAACCAGCCAAGGCAACATGCATTATGATTGCCCTTACATAAAGGAGCAAGCAAAGTTGAAGAATTGAAACCACGTAATCATAATGGATGTAAGCAAAGTTGAAGAATTGAAACCACGTAATCATAATGCATGGGATGCTTTTGGAGATAGTTCATCATCAATTTTCATGCATCCTACCTGACTTTCCAATTTCAATTCGACTCAATTAATTAAATAAAGATGTTACAAATTTACCAATGTGTGTCGTGCCGGAGAAAGTGGTTCAACTTTCAATATATATGATGTATAGCGTTGATGGCAAGTGAAGATCAGAAAGGGATGCTTCGTCATGATGACATCATGAGTACTTATCATAACTCCTCCACTTTGTGCAACAAAGAAAATAAAAGGGCCATCCCAAGAATTTTCTTTCTATGCATATATTCATAATTTTCCTCTTTCTTTCTCTTCCCTTTTCATTTTTAGCCATAAATGGTTTTCCACTTTCTTTTTCTTTGGTAATTGTTTTCCTCATATGGGCAAGTGATGGTAAGATTGCTTTGGATTGAATACCAAGTCTTTTCTGGCCCATGCACCCTTTGTTTCACTGCTATGTTGGCCATTTAATTAATTATTCTACCATCCATGTGTGTCGGTTTGGATTTGATATGATATTTCTCTAATTATATCTCGTTCATTTATGATTTGGGCAATTAATTAAAAAAAGAAAATTATAATGTGAATGTTAACCCCCAAATGTAGAAGTAGCCCACTATGATCTTGCCTCACGTCTAGCCAGCTTGAAATAGCAGAAATGAAGGCATTGAGAGGTTTTTGGTCACCTTATATATTGCTTATGTAAGCAACTATGGAGAGGGATAGTGGTGATACTAAAATTGTTAGGATTTTTAACTTGGTATGATCCAAATAAATTAATAAGAATTTGATTTTTATTGTTTGTTTCTTAGAATATGATTTGAGTTGTTCAATGTATTATAAGGGTGGTGTATTATTTTATACTTGGAATATGATTAGTTAATTTATTCAAGGTTTAAAATAGGCAGTGACTCTCTTGAGGTGAGACTTGAAAATCCTTTGTAATCTTACCTTGATATGTTTGTGATGTACATAGTTTTACAAAATTTTCACATAGTGGAATATAGCAGTCTTTGACAGTTTGTGTCTCCTATTTGAAAGTTTTCCAATTAAATTTTTTATTGTTATTTTTCTCCATCTTTTTATCTTTGATGGCTTTAATATGTTTTATTTATTTATTATTATTATTATTATTATTTTTTGCGATGGGAATCTTGTGGCAAATCCAAACTGGTCTCAATGCTCATCAAGTAGTATTAGAGAGAGAGAGGTCATTCGGAGTGTTGAGGTGAAAAGCAATGCATGTCAAGAGACGTGAAAAAATTGATGGGAGAATTAATTTTGACATGTGGTAAGTGCAAGTCAATATTGTTTTAGTTTAGTGTCAATTGCATAAGGAATTGAGAAAAAAAGATTAATCCCTATTTTGACAGAAGTGGATAGTTTGGACACCTCAAGAAAAATTATTTGAAGATGGAGCATGTTCAGCTAATTGCTCAAAATCACTTCATGAAAAGATGTCGACGAGTCGAGTCGAGCTGAGCCGGCTCGGGAGTCGAAATTCAAGGCTTGAGCTCGGTTCGAGCAAAATTAAACGGGCTTTTTTTGAGTTTAAAGGCTTGACCCGAGCTTTCAACTCGGGCCTTAGAGAGTCGAGCCAAGCCGACTCATTTTTTTTTCTCTCTCTCTCTCTATCTCTCTTTTTTTTTTTTTGATTACTCACAGTGTGGGTACCGGTGTTTTTTTTTTTTTTTTTTTTAATTGGCACTTTTACCTTAAGAAAGGCAGCAAGCGTTGCCTTAATTAAGGGAGCAAGGTGCTGCCTTATTTAGCCGCTAGCTGGCCTTTTCTTTTCTTCGTTTTTTTTATTATTATTTTATAAGTCTCAAGCCGACAAGCCACACGGGCCGGCTCGGGCTAAGTCCGGAATCTCAAAATGGGGCTCGGTCCAAGCTTTGGCTCGATTCCATTGAGCCACAAGCTGAGCCAGCTCGGGCTTTTTCTGGCCCGAGCCGGCGAGCCCAATTGATATCCATAAAAAGAATTTCATCCTAACGACATATATATGGTCAATAGTGTCTCTCTTTTCTACATGAGAGACATTGATATTCTTTAGAAAGAATATGATCATCCTTACGACATATATATTGTCAATAAGTTGCCATATGGAGGATGTGTTATTATCAGTAGTTCTACAATTTTGCACGCAAGCATTGATTTGTCATTAGTGAAGGATTTTTGTGGAATTTATGTTGATACCTGATGAACCTTCAGGAAAATTAAATGTGGGAGTTGCATCATAATTTTTTAACGGGTTTGTTTCGATATGAGCGGATGAAATTCTTAGAGTTTGTTATTAATTTAAATGTCTAAACTCTTTATGGTGGAGTATGGTC